CAGCTCACGTGGTTGCTCCTGCCCTGTCTAGTGTCAGCGTGGGCCTGAGCGTCCAGGGCGTCAGCACTCTGCCATGGTCATGTCCACTCTAGCCCATGCTGTGCCGGGTGGGCTCTCTGGGTTACATGGACAGCCTGTTAAAACCCTGAGACCATCCTTTAGGGTGGGTGCTGTTCTGATCCATGTTGTACAGACAGGGAGCAGAGGTGTGGCCAGTGTGAAGCCCCACAGTGGATACGTAGTAGGGTGCAGACCTGATTCCAGAGTCCGATCCTATGGGCTGCATCCCTGTTCCCTGAACACAGCATCACATATTTCTCCACATGGAGTTCTTGGGCAGAGAGTCAGGTTAAATTACGTGAAGGGGGGTGGGGGGGTGGGGGAAGCAGCTTCAGTTTTCCCTGAGGTGCTTTAGCGGTGCAGGGCAGTACAGACTGCAGTGCGAATCCACCGCTGCTCTGCAGGAGAGAGATGGGCACTCTCCTCCCATGAGACCTCAACATCGGAAAACCTGTTGGGGGGGGCAGCACTGAGTTGGCTCTGACTCGACAGCAAGTAATCGTTTTGTTTTAACTTGGCAGCTCTGGTGGCTCCTGATTGAAGGAAGCTGTGCTAACCCGAAGGCAGTTCGAATCCACCAGCGGCTCTGCAGGTGAGAGACGGGAAACTCCCACGCGAAGTGCGGCCTCCCAGAAACCCACTGGAGGGTCCGCTATGCGCTGGTTCTGACTAACAGCAATGAGTTTGAGTTGTTTGTTGCTTTTTTGGTTATGACGGGTTTTCTGGGGGGTTTTAATGGTTTTAACTCAGGAGCCCTGTTGCCACAGTGAAAAAGGAAGGGCTGCTAGAGAAAGGGTACCGGTATGAACCCACCAGCTGCTCTGCAGGGGAGACGTGGGCAGTCTTGTCCTGTAAAGATTTACAACCTCAGACACCAGATGCAAGGTGACCATGAATTAGAATAAACTCTGGAGTTGTTCTTTTTTTATTTTTTTTAATAATTTTAATGAACATTTACAGAGAATTTGGATTTCCATTCATTCATTGCTGCACTTCTCTCCCCGCCCAGCCCTCTCCCCCCCGCCCCCCAGTTCGCTCCTCTCTTTCAAAAGTAAAAGAAAGACTCCCTCCCTGGTACACAATCCCCCCGCGCCCCTCCCACCGTCCCAAGTACATTCCACTATGCAACCTTAATTGTTGACCCTTGTGATAACCGTAATACCCCATCATACATCGTTTTTAAATTATTCAGTCCCTCGTCTGTTTCAGTGCAGTATACACAATTTATCCAGTTTTTCTCAGTCTTACCCCAACCCTGATATCAGTCCCATTTTACAGCAGTGGCACCATGCAATATTTGTCCTTTTGCGACTGAGATATTTCACTCAGCATAATGTCCTCCAGGCTCACCCATGTTGAATAATATTGAATGAGTTCCTTGTTTTTCAATGCAGCATAGTATTCCATTGTGTGAATATACCACAGCTTCTCTACCCATTTGTTTGTTGATGGGCACCTGGGTTGTTTCCAACTCCTTGCTATTATGAACAGAGCTGCGATAAACATGGGTGTGCATATATCTGCTTGGATGTCAGTTATGGTCTCTTTGGGATATATTCCCAGTAGTGGAATTGCTGGGTCAAATGGTATCTCTATTTGCCACTTTTTGAGAAAGCGCCATACTGCCTTCCACAGTGGTTGCACCAACTCTGGAGTTTTAATTCTAAATATTTGTTACAGGTATTAAAGAAAGAGGATACTACTTCTGCCATCATTGGTAATGCTAGAACAGTATTCAGTGCTGCTTATCTAGAGGCAAGTACCATTGATGGCAATTAGACCCATTTTAAAAAAGCAAGTGCGTGCTTCTAATTTTAGTGGAGAATACCCAGGCGAGTGATCACTGTATTAGTTTACTAAGCCATTGAATTTGTGACCAATGTTTTTTTGAACAGCTTTGCTGACATGTTAAACACTCGGCCTGGCTTGCTGCCCAAGACCCCTTCCTTGAGGGGGAGCACCCCTGGCTAGCACTCTGGTATGAGAACACAGCTGGGGTGTGGCCAGCTGGATTCAGAGCAGGGACCCAGGTCGCCCAGCATCTTGGCCCGTGCCCTCATGAACTGGGTTGTTCAGTACTCCCAACCCTGGGGAAATGAAATCATTCCTATCTTGGGAAAGTTGGGAACCTCTTAGACTTTTCAGAGAGGTTTGCACATACCCTTCTTGGCCACCAAATCAGTAACATTTCTGAGACTAGCAACCAAGTATTGTTCAAATGGAAAACCCCTCCTAGCTTTAGGAAATAACATGTACATGGAATTTTTAAACACAATATATTAAAGTTTTGAGGATTCCTTTATTCTTCAGACTTTCCTTTTCTTTCTCAATATTCTTGTGGGAAAGAGATTTTATCTTCAAATAATAAGAAAATGAGCTCCTTTCCACGGCATTAAAAACAAACAAAAACCTCCTCCGCTACTGAGTTGATTTCAGTTCATAGTGATCCAACAGAACTGCCCCACAAGGCTTCCCAAACTGGTGCTGGAGAAAATGCTGAATTTCCCATGGGCTTCCCAAAGAACAAACAAATATGTCCTGGAGAAGGAGCAGCCAGGATGCTCCCTGGAGGCAAAGCTGATAAAGCTTGGTCTCCCATATTTTGGGCATGTTGCTAGCGGAGTCTATTCTTTGTTGTTGTTGTTGTTGTTGTTGTTGATTTTCTTTGGGTCGAGCATGACTCATAGCGACCCTATGAACGAAAGGCCTGAGGCCCCTCTATAACCATCGCCATTTATCAAAGTTCATAGAGCTTCCAGAGCCATGTTGTTTAGGAAGTGGATGCCACTCCTGCTTCCCAACCTGTCACAGAATGTTACTGTTATTAGGTGCCACTGAGTTGCCTGCTATACAGCTGCTCTGAACCCCTTCCTGTCCTGAGCCAGACTCACTAATTCCGACACACCAACCCCCATCGCTCCAGTTACTGTATCAATCCCTCATCTGGGGTCTCCCTCTCCTGTACTGTCCGTCCACCATTCCGAGCATCATGTCCTTCTCCAAGGACCGATCCCTCCTGGCCACGTGCCCAAAGTATTCCTTAGGGAGGGATAATCATGCTTGCAAAGGTGGAGGGATGGAGAAGGAGAAGAAAACACTCAACCGTATAGACTGACACAGGGAATGTAGCAATGAGCTCAAGTGTGTCAGAGACTGTGAGGACGGCACAGGACAGGCCAGGGTTCAGATCTGATGTTCACAGGGTCACTGTGTGTCATACTCAACTCGACAGAACCTAACAACAGCAATCCTTACAGAAGCAGACCACCACAGCTTTCTCTTAGGAATTCGTTGATGAGTTCAAACCACCAACCTTTGGGACTAGAGCTTCATGTCTACCCAGAGGTGCCTGAGAAGAAAGGCCTGGCTAACTATTCTGCAAACCAGCCACCGACCACCCTACAGAGAAGAGTTTCACTCTGACACACTTACAGCCACTGTGAGCAGGAGTCCGCTCAACGGCAGGTATGATTCCAGCCCTACTGAACTGTAAAAACAGTGTGGCCAAGACCTCTGACCTCCTCCAACTCCGTGAAGGGGAGAGACTCACCATGAACATCAACCCACTTCTTGGGAGGCCAAGGGCAGATCTGCCTTCCCTCACCAGTTTTTACTAATTCTGACACCAGGTATAGCCCTCCCACACCACTCATATCTGCTGAGTTTGACCATGTATTGCAATGGTCACACAGAACTCACACACTATAATTACAAGAGTTTATTGGGAAGCTATTGCTGTTGTTGTGTACCACTTGAGTTGGAACCAATCCATAGCTGGCTCTGGTGAGTTCTCAGAGGTAACAAACTGCACAGGAGAGGAGTGCCCATCCTTCTCCCACGGAGCAGTTGCTAGATTCAAATGCTGTACCCTTTGTGTTAGCACCACAATTCCTTACCACTAAGCCTCAATTCAGGGAGCACTGATTGCCTAGTGATCAGAAGCTACACTGCAATCCCAAAGGCATGTGGTTTGAATCCACCAGATTCTCTGTAGGAGAAAGATGGGCAATCTCCTCCTGTGTGATTAACTGCCTCTGAAAACTCACCAGAGGGTCAGTGACTTGATGATACACCACCACAACAACCAGCCACATTCAGGGTCAGAGATGATTCAGGATACAGTTCTTCAAACAGGGCAGCTTCTTAGCAGTACTCACAGGCAGGCCTTTCCCCAGCCCACCATCTCTCAGGTCACAGTCCATCACTCAGGTTCTTGAACCTTGGTCCTCTTGAGCTGGCCTACCCTCAGTGATGCTTGGGCAAGTTTCACCCAAAGGTGTCTAATTCTGCCAGCAGACTTTCTGCCCAAAGCACTCAGCTCTCTAGCTTTCAGCATCACCAAGCCTAACTCTGCTAGCAAGTGCCCCTCACTGCCAGCCAAGCTTCTGTCCAAATGTGCTCCGCCTTCTCACTCTCTGGCCAAAAGCCCACTGCATCACACTGTCACCTGCTGAGCTCTTGGTTCTGCTGCCTCTACTGACACTGCCTCTCACCATCACTGATATCACAGCTCTCTTTCTATCTCCTGGGTCTAGAAGGTTCTCAGCATGGGGATCCCAGGTCCAAAGGATATGTTCAACTTCTGGCTCTTCTTTCTTGGTGGTAGTAAGGGTCCCTATTCATTTTAGAGGTTTACTATTTTAAGATTAAGGGAATAACAACAATAAGCAAGTCTCTCATTAGGGTTCCATATACCTTATTTGCAAGACCCCATCCCCACAATGGTGCCATGTACCTTATTTGTATTGGCAAGGTATCCAACACCTTTGGTAGGACACAAAGACTTCATCTGCATCGTTCCACCCAGTCATTTGGGAGTTAAAATAGCAGGGCAAGAAGGGCTCTATAAAGTGATCCATCACACCAGATGAGTCAAATTCTTACCTTTGCTATTAGAGCTACATCAGATTTCTATAAAGTTCCCTAGGACTTCACCTTACCTCTAGGTCAAGATCCTGAGGCTCCATTTCAGAAAGTGACAGCACAGCGATTTTGGTGACTTTACAGACCTCATGGTCTCCTGGAAGCTTGCCCACCACGGCTTTCTGCCGAATGAGAATAAGCCACCACGGAAGATCTGAAAGAGAAACAGCACGTCAACAGCTGCTATGTATAGCATGCTCCCGTCACGGCGAGATGAAGACAAATAAACTAACTATGAAAAGACAAGAATACATGCATAAACATCAAAGACACAAGCTGTTAGGTTAAAACACAACGGAAGATACAATGGTTTAGGAACATGTAGAAGATGCTTGTAGCCAACCTATAGGATAAAACAGACTTGTCCCACAGGGCTTTTCAGAATATCGTTTTTACAGAGGCAGACTGCCACAGCTTTCTCCCGTGAAGTGTCTAGCGGGTACAGACCACCTGCCATTCAGTTAATGGTCAAGCCCTTATCCATAACACCACCCCGACTCCTTTCCTGTTCTCATCACACCGGTTCTATGTTCAAACAACCATATGACACAGGAGCACAGCCCCAAAGGGTTTCCAGGCTGCCACACCCTTCTCCAAAGGAACAAATGATGGATTTGAACTACCAACCTTTCAATTAGCAAGGGAGGATCTAACTATTTCCCCAAAGGACTCTTTCTTCATTCATAATTAGGAAAATAAAAGTTAAAACAATAGTGTGATATAATTTCTCACCTATCAGACTGGAGAAAATGAAGTACAACAACACATTTTTTAGCGAGGTTGTGGGAAACACGTGTTGGGAACACAGACAGCACAGTTTGTGGAGGAAGAATCACAATAACTAACAGGATAGGTCAATCCCTCGTTAGCAACGACTGCTGTATATATAACCCCACAAAACCAACTGTATTAAAAATCTGAGATAGGCGAGCTCTGGTGGCCTAGTGGCAAGAAGCTGCACTGCAACCTCGGAGGTACACAGTTCAAATCCACCAGATGCTCTGCTGGAGAAGGAGGAACAATCTCCTGTATCAGTCAGATCTGATTTGATGGTACACACAAAAAAATAATGAAATAAAAATTTTAAACAAAAATCTGAGATAGACAGAATGGTCTATATTAACTAACAGATACTACTTTGCAATGTACAATGTAAAATAACAATGTAAAATCATTGTTATCATTACAATGTACAACACTATCATTGTTATTACATTAATGTTGTTCTTTAAAACAACAAATGTATCTAGCAGAGAGCTTTGTGGCCTAGTGGCAAGAAACTGCATTGCAATCCCCAAAGGCACAGGGTTTGAGGCTACCATCTGCTCTGCAGGAGAAGGATGGGTGATCTCCTCCTGTGTGATTAAATGCCTCTGAAAACCCACCAGAGGATCAGCTCTGGGTCATCACACTAGACAGTACACAGCAACAATGTATCTACCAGTGGTTCTTTAATGTTTTTATTACACAAAAATGTACTTACTATACTATATACTAAGACAAATATTTGACTCAGATACAAACCATGCCTGTCTGTTCCCACTTAGGTACAAATTCAACTTAAAGACATATAGGAAAAAAAAAAAAGACATACAGGAACATACCTAGCTCTTAACCAAGGAAGCTACTCGTACAGCATATGCACTTAAATTTTTTTCTCCGAAATCTCTCTCTCCCAGGAATTTACTTTCATAATACACCTTAACACCATAAAGACATATACTATACCCTCAAGGCTAGCACTGCAACAGCCCAAATTCCCAGACATTTGGCACACAATGGAGTACTCTGCAACTGAGAAAAAGAAGGCAGACAAATTCCGGGAATTGACAACAACTCCTGAACATGTTACTAAGTGAAGAAATCAAAGCGCAAAACAGTATCCAGTGAGTGCTACCTTTTATGTAAGAAAGAAGATTAACCATATATACAACTGCTCATTTGAGGGAGAAGGGGCCTGGAGGAAAAACCAGGAGACAGACTATCTCTCAGGGCAGATGGAGATGACAAGGAAAGAAGTGGGAAGGTGAACATCTCTTAGAACCATGTTGTCTTCCTAGTATTACTGGTTTTAGCATCAGTTTTCTGTTTCAATTTTTACATGATCTTTTTGTAATATATGTCTATCTATGAATTTGCTTCTTGTATTGTCCATGCTTTTCCTATGCAGTGAACATGGAGGTGCAGCCAAGAATAGTATGTTCACAGACTCCAACTCAATGTCTATCTCCTCTGCTCTTCTGAGGGTTTTCATCCTCAGACAAAGATCGAAAAGAAAAACTAAACTGACGATAACTTGGATAAGGAAATCGATACGTGCTGGCTATAATCTAAGTAATCTAACCTTTACTTCTTTCTTCTTTGGAAAGTGGTAATGTTGATAAGTGAGTGGGTTGGAATATCCACTCCCCCTTCTAACTTGCCTTTATATTTCTTTGGTAGAGACAGCATAAAATAAAACACAAATTTACTTATGAAAAGAAAAAGAATTTGCAAAATAACATGGATGGACCTCAGGAACATTATGCTGAATGGAAAAAGCCATACACAAAAGGATTAATATCATATGAATCCACTATTATTTTTTAAAAAGCTAAATAAAAGTGTTGTGCTCTTGTGGCCTCCTGGTAAGAATCTGCCCTGCAATCCCGAAAGCATGTAGTTCGAATCCACCAGCTGCTCTGCAGGAGAAGAATGAGCAATCTTCTCCCATGCAATTAACCATCTCTGAAAACCCGCTAGAGGTCATGGGTCACGGGTCATAGGTCATGGGTCATGGGTGGGTTCCAATTTGATGGTACACAACAACAACAAGGAAAAAGTGTAAAAAGAGAATGACATATTCTTTGACTGTTATCAGGGATGAGGAGGGGAAGGAAAATTAGTAAGATAATAAACCCATAGGAAGCTGGAATACAGGGAAAAACTATATGAAACTATATATAAGGGGTTATTAACAGATTATCACTAAAGGAAAGAAAGTTACCCAAATCTGATTATTAAAGAATAAGAAACTTCAGCACAGGAAATTAAAAAGTCAAAGACACAATAGGAAAAAACCACAATCACAGCCAAAGGACTAATCTCCCTATTTTTATTATAAAGAATTTCTAAAAACAGAAAAGAGAAAGACAAGTGATACAAAAGAAAAACACGCACAACATATAAACATATAATTCAGAGCAAAGGAAACACAAACAGCTGAGAAGATGCTAAACCTCATTTACAACAAGTGAAATCCACATTAAAACTGGGCTGAGACAATCATCATCCACGTAGATGGGACATAAAAACGTGTTTCCCAGGACAGTGGAAAAATACAGACGATGTGATTATGCACTTTACATGGCTGCGGATAAACACTGGTGAGAATGTAAATTAGTAGACTGTCTGTGGGAGCAATTTGGGGATATTTATCAAAATCACATAGCTTCTCTCTTTTCACAGAACCATTCTAGATCTGGTAATTTATCTTAAAGCTATGCTAATAAGTGAGGGGAGCTACATAAGTGTAATGTTATTCACAGCAGCATTATTTATAACAGAGTCAGACTAGAAAGGACCTAAAATTCTGCTAACAGAAAACTGCCTAAATAAATATTAATGCTGCCATATAGTAGAATATCATCCTGCTATTTTCAAAATAGCAACAGTGTTGGAAGAATTTACAAAGTATATTTTTAGGAAATGAATGTAAGGTGGGGAGTTTCTAGGATACGAGGTTTATTTAGTGTCAGAGATAGAGCGTACATAAATATTTGCATTAATAAATGCTGAAGAAAACAGTGGGAGGATTCACAAGAGGCTAATCATAATGGTGATCAATTTTACAGGGCCATGGAAACTGGACAGGTGGGCAGAGGAGCAAGGGAGATTCACTGAGTATTTTTAAAAACCAAACCAAACCCATTGCTGGCTAGTTGATTCTAACTCAAAGCATCCACTGCTACTTAAACTGTCAAAACATGTACATGTGTAACTGTCATTAGTAACAGCTGCAGAGCCTATTAGAATAACTTAGGCAAAGATTTAAACGGAAAACTGTTTTTCTCTGTAAGCAGTACAAATCAATTGGTATAGGGATAAACAAAATGTGTGATATCTTAGCAACAGAACATTATTCAACCATAAAAAGGCATGAAGTTCATAAAACAAAACATGTAGGAATGACTGAGTGGAAAATCAATTTGCTTGGTAAAGTCTCACTCAAACACCCCCCCCCAAAAAAAGAAGAGAAAATGGAAAGAAGAAAAAGAATAATAACGAAGTTCTGACCATTTTACATGTGAATACTGAGAAAATTATTCTGACTGCAACAACCAGCCACCAAGGAGTGCAGAGGGTCTGGTTCCATTTATGTGAAGTGTTCAGACTGGTCCAAGTTACAGGGAAAGAAAGAAGACCAGCCACCATGAGGAACAGGGAAGGGAGATGCCGAACAGAGTGCCTTTGGCAGTAAGGAAAGTGACGTTGGATTAGTTGGATTAGTGGTGAAGGTCGAAACCCTGTATACTTGCTAAAGCCACTGAACACTTACTGGAGTGAACTGCAAGGTATGCCTGTAGCTTTTTACAAAAGTTCCTTCTGAATAACAAAGAACTTATTAGGAGTCCTACCCATTTAACAGAGAATAAAAAAACTAAAAGGTAGATTTTCCACCAATGACAGAGAGTTTAGGACAGTCGATTAATTCTTGAAACACAGACTCAGTAGAGTCAGTAGAGTAAGCGAAAGCATTAATAGATGATGTACTTACAATAGTATCTTAACAGAAAAATTAAAATTAGTGGAAGAGAAAGAAAAGTAAAATTATGAACCCTGAGAAATTTCTAGGAAAAAATCATACCCGCTTAAAAAAAAACAAAAACCAAAAAACCACACACAGGTGATTCTCACTGTGGTGACCCTAGAGGGCTAAGCAGAACTGTCCTTTAAGGTTTTCAGGGCTGTGAAGGTCTAAGGCAGCCGACAGGCAGATCCCCCACCTCAGCCCCCAAGGAGCAGCTAAGAGGCTCAAACGGCCCAACTCTTAACTCACCTGAGTCTCTTAAACAAAATTATTTGCTTTGGGTGAAATAAAACACAACAAAAGTACTAAAAACTGGCCAAAAAGTCAAGCAGGAAAGTATATGTTGAGTTACACAGGATTAAATG